CAATGTGCTGGTTTTATATACAATTTGAAATATTTTCATCAAACTGGTTAACATAGCCTTCATGGCATTTTCTTAGTTACTGTGTTAAGACATTTATATTCTATACCTAGTAAATTTCACATGTACCCTTCTAAGTTGCAAAAATACAGAACGCTTCACGAATTTCTGTGTCATCCTTGCACATGGGCCATGCTAATATTCTCTGTATCGTTCCAATTTCAGTGTATGTGTTGCTGAAGTGAGCGCTATAATTCACATTTTTAAATAACACCTTTAATTGTGCACTGAAAGATTCAGAGTGAAGCAAACACTTGAATATTTTCAAGAAACGTTCCGTTTAAGATCTTTCAATATCTAACAAAAGTAGAATATTCTAAAGATTAAAAAACCATGTTCCATATTTATACATTGATGATGATTTGAAAATGAAATTGGTGGCTAAGTAAAAAGATTTTCACTTACTGAATTATAACATAGTTTATTAACCAGGCCCACTCATAATTTTTTAGAGTTGTAAACTGTAGAGGATAAGGTTTAATTTGTTCATTTCTCTGTTGACATTGCCCTGTTTGTATCTTATTACATTTGGAGACTTCCAGTATTTTAAAAAGCTCACAGTCATGTTAATACGGACACTGAAGAATGATACGTAACAGGATTCCATTAAGACCTCGTAGAATTTCATTTAGTGAAACCCAAATTGTTTCAGTGTTTCATTAAAGTAAGATTCAGCATCTCAACTCATGTTCCTGTTTAGCATGTAGAAATTCGTGGCATGGAATTTACTTTTATTGAAAAATCTAACATTTGGTTCTATTGTTTGCCTAATAATTAATGAATAGCATTAAAATATTTCGAAATGTTTGTGTTCTTTTCTCACATTCCCTTAGTTCTGTGTGCACTTTTTCCTAAGATGTTTGTGTTTCCTTAAATACTCAGTTAGTGACCTCCTTTATCAATTCCCCTTTAGCGACACCTGTCCTATCAGCCACCTTCTCTCTAACTCCATTATTCTTAGCTTAGTTTCAGATCTCAATATCTCTCACCTGAATTATTACAACAACCTTTTAATTGTTCTCTGTTTTTTTCTTGTCTTGTAATTCCTGGTTTTCCCTTACACACATTTTCTTTAATTCTCCAGAGTTGATTTTCCCTCTTATGTGTTGCTATGCTGGACGTTGCGCCTACCATTCCCTTAAGGCCTAGAACATACCATGGGAATTATTTGTTTAGATATCCTTTCTATGGACTGAAATGAGGGGTGGAGCTAAGACCTTATAAATTCTAAACAGCATAGCGTATAAATTCTAAACAGATGCACAGCATCAAACAACACTCCAAGTGTTAGGAGGGCAAGAATCATTCTCTCTATTAGTCGTTCGGATGAGATTTTATATGGAGTACCTGGATCAGAGAGTGCCGGGGTCCTGCCCCGGGGGCAGGGTCCTTTAAGACCTGTGGAACTGGGGGCCATCTGAAGAGATATAAAGTTAAAAGTGGCGAGAGGTGAAAAGACAGGACATGCAGAATAGAGTTTTCAAAGATGGGCACACAGGGGACCACCCCTGGCTTGTGGACTTCCAGTGAGTGGCCCAGAGTGGTTGTTCCAATCAGCTTTTATCGAAGGCTATTATTTCGTTTAGCCCAAAGGGTAAACTGAGGAAGGGAACAAAAGCTTCAACAGTTTCTCTGAGTGAGCATGTTAGTTTTTATTCTCTCTGTAATCACTAACTTTAAGGGTCTGAGCAGCCTTGAGAAATCCGAAACCTGAGCCTTGTGGGGGACAGCCTCCTGTCTGTGGTCTCACACACAGATTCCTTGCGGGAGGGTAATCCCTCTTGTTCACTGTGGACTGGACACAATGGCATCAGGTGCCCCTGAAGAATCAGTGAACAGAAGAATTTTCCTTTGTTCTCCACCCAGAGGCATTTTTCTCTGTGATAAGAAGCCTTCCTGCCCATATTTCAGGGCTCGATTTATTCTCTTGCTCCCTGCCCTGACCATAGTACAAATCCTCACAGTGGGTATTTGCTTTGGCTGTTGTCAGGGCAGGGAACAGCCTGGTTAATGTTCCCTCCCAGGCCTTGCACGTGGCTGCCCTACAGCCATTCTCTTCAGAGTGTCTACAGACCCAGCAGGGGTGTTTGCAAGCTGTGTCCCTTACAGGCAGGCTTCTAGCAAAAGCGAGAACTGTTCAGATAAATAATTTAACTGTTAGTTTAAAAGTAAGCTTGCTAAACTGTTTTTATTCCCCTTGCTCAGCTTATTTCTCTGTTTTTCCCTCTGTTGGGGGGTGTTTCCCCTGGCCAGGAATGGGATCTTCAGTCACCATTCTCCCTGGAAGAGAGAGTTAGATGTTAAGATTAAAGTTCCATTGGAAAAGAAAGATCCAGTTTACTAGAAGTAATTAGTTAGTTATTCATTAATAAAAATGGGCTTCTGTCATTTCTAGACCATGATATTATGGCTGAATATCTGCCAGGTTTATTAGCATAACAGATAAACCTAAGGCTTGCTGCTATGAATTCTAGTATATTGGTTTGGGGCAATACATTGGGTGAATGCTTTTTACTTTAAAGCAGTATTTTTCAGCTCATTTTTTTTTAAATCTCATGGCACACATGAACCTATAGTTGCATTTCTGAGGCACATTTAAATTATGTTGAACCAAAAAGAAAAAAAGAGTTAAAAAAAAAAAAGAATATACTTACTGTGCTTCAAACTTCTTTCAAAAAATAATTCATTAGTGGTCCTTAAAAATTTGAGGGGCACACCTATGATCTTCCTATGGCCCACCAGTGTGCCATGGAACACTTGTTGAAAAATCACTGCTTTAAAGATCACTGTTCTCTCACTGTTTAATACATATTTATTGAAAATATTGTTTTGTTAATTTGAACAGATTTTTTTAAAGCTGTTGTACGATCTATAACATTTAAATAGAATTTTCTCTAAATCATCGGTTGAAATTTGCATAAGCTACCTTTAAGTGTAGGAGATATCAGTATTTAAATGAATGTAGCTATAAAGAGAAAGAGTTCCTAAAATATTTAACAACTCACATGAAGTGGTTAACTAGAAAATGCCAGAGACCCACAGAGAGAGTTAGACTTTAAAAATTGGCATGGCCTAGTGGAGCATTTCAGCATTTCCCAGTGGTAAGCATAGATAGGGATTAAACAAAGCATATTATAAATTCTGATTGTCATATAACAGCTTCCCTTCCATATCATAAGCTATGGGACTGAAAAAGTTAAAAGTTGTTAATTTAGAAAACAACCTGTCTTGTCAATTGTCAGATATATTTTCAACAAGCCTTAAAAGCCCAAGCTAAATTTTTCAAATGTGTCCAATTCTCAGTAGTAACTAAGGGATGGTTTTAGCCCTTTTTACTCTAAAATTAGAAATGTTGGTCCAAAATACCATGTAGCAATTAGAAACTTTGATTTCATTCTTATATGTACACCTTTTAATGTTCTGGATGCAAATCACTGCTCTTTCCTGGACTGTAAAAATAGCCTAACACAAATGTAACTTTCCTCCTCCGTTGGTATTGTTTTAGAATATTTAATCTTAAATTTGATTTATGTGGGTCAAATAGCTTCTGAAAGAATGAATCTTGGGGTACAGTCAAGATGCTAAAGATGTGCCCCCCAGATTTCAAATTAAGGGTTTTTAACAATTATAAATCATAGTCATCATGCATTCCAATGCATAGATAAAGTTTAGATATGCAATCAGAAATTTAATTACATTTTCAATATAATTAAAAATGTTCTGCATGTTTAAACAGATGACCAGGAATTATGGCCTACACAGATGACAGGCCTCCCTCCTTCACACTTATGCTTCAGTGAAGGCTCTGCTGGCTATTTGCAATGACCAGGTCCAACTGCCAACAGAGTATAAACCATTATAGATTTTTA